AGTTTTATGTGAGCCGCCCTGAGTCCCCTCAGGGAAAAGGGCGGCCTACAAATTCTAATAAAACTATAAAACTAAACTATAAACTAGGCCACGTCCACCATGGCCACGCCCACCCAGTAACCAGGAAAGAACCCCTTGCTAAAAATTTTGAAGCCTACCCCTGCATCATGACATTCAACCATTTTAGACGCTATGAACATGCTTCCATCAACAATTAAAAGCTGCTCCACTGTTATTAATAATGCCCTCTTCACTTCACTGACGCTTTAGGTGTCACAAGATTCCAAATGACATCATTAGGAGTACAATACATCTAACTTAAATCTACTGGATGCCACATATATTAATGCAACTTAATTTCCTGTAAATTGAGCACGTAATAATAATTATATTTCTACCGGAAATATACTTAGAAAGGGACATAAGAAAGCAACTAGTGTGGTGCAGCAAGTTTGGTGTTAGACAAGGCCTGGGAGATCCAGCTTCAGCTTCACATCCAGAATTTGAAATTCTAATTGTGTGACCTTGAGTTTCTGATTTTCAGTTTAGCATACTTCATAAGTTTCTTGAGGTGGGGACAGGGAGGGAATTATGGGAGAATGAATAAGCTCCTGGATGAGAAATTGAGTGTAAGTCTAAAAAAATATATAGCAGCAATAACAACAACAGTAATAACAACCACCACAACAAGCCCCTATACTTGCATTTGTAATAAAATTGCGACTTCAAATAAGCATTCAATTAGGAAACACTAATGGAAGAGTTTAATATATGTGTCTAAGCCTTATGCACCCCTGGCAAACACTAGATTAGCTGGTGGCATTTTAACAATATTTGCATTCCTGGACATGTCACTGTTTAGGTAACATCTCTGAACAAAAATGTGATGATAAAAGAGGATCTGAAAGAAGCCATACCTGTGTGTAAACTGTGAGGTATGAGATTTAGCAAACACAGAGCAAAAATGCCTCCACAAGATAATTTTTTTTAAAAAAAAGTCTCAGAAAAACAAATGTATGCATTTTCTTCACTGTTCATTATCTATTACTTTGACCTTCTTTGTTGGCAGCAAATTATCCGATTTCTGACATCAAAAGTCTAAAAGCAAAAGACATTTATTTGGCACTAGGGATATTTATTTATTTTTAAATCTAAAACTTACTGAATCAAGATGAAGTGCTACAATACGTCAAAATCAATAAAGCGTAGGTTGAATCTGAAAAATAACATTTTCTGCAAAATAAAAGATTACACAAATGTTCCAATTTGCTAAAAAAACCTTTTAATCTGCAAAGCTGTCAGGTGACACTATCTATCATTGAGTGCAGAAACATAAAGATTTTCGTTGAACTCAAAAGATTTCTCTTCTGTTGGTCCTGTGGTCTAACTGGCAGTAAAAATGCAAATTTAGGCATGCACCTATAAACTTTATATTTGCCATCCTTCAATAATCGTGAATCTTCTGAACTGTTATTATCTTCATTGGGCATTTCTTTCTGGATCCACCTATCCAGTGGTGGGATTCAGCCAGGTCGCACCTATTTGGAAGAATTGGTTGTTAACTTTCTAAGCAGTT